GAACAGTTTGGGAGAGAAGAACATTTTAAGCAAATGTACATGAATGGGAACTTTCCAGAACCAAAGAAATACTTGCTGATGTTGAAAGTGTGGCATTCGTCTCACTTCATCACTTACAGCATGATTATTTGATGGCTTTTAAAAAAGGATCCAGGCCAGGAACAAGTATAGGAGGGAAAGCAGAGCTGTGCTGTGCAGAGAAGGGAGGGGTGATGTTGCTTCTCAGTGCCCAACCCCATCCTGTTCATCCATCTCCCTTGTGTTTAAGCATGTGGGGCAGGGAGAGGGAGGAAGATAAGAGGGGAAATGTACTTCCAAGAACCTCCCTCTAATCCTCCAGTGTTGTTCCCACCACCTTTTTTTACTGCAGTATTGTGTTTCCCCGCACTCTTGACTTCTGCGTTAGTGTTCCGCTTCCTAGTGTTTTTTCCAGTAATCTTGCATTGTCTTTTATTCCTTTCCAGACCGCCACTTTTTATCAAGGAGAGAGCCAGATTTGCCACCCCCACAGACAAGGGGTAGTGTAAGGGGGGTGGGTAGTAATGTCTACCTGGCATGTTGGGGGATACATAATGTGTCTTAGAAGCGGGTCACGGCTTATCTTGGGCTTTCTCCTATGGTGAGGCAGGTATAGATATGTTACTTCTTGTGGAGAACCTGGAAGAAAGTTTCAGTACATCCCAGTGTCTGTCACTGTCTGATATATGTTCACAAAGACATGCCAGATATAGCCTAGCAGTCACTGGTAAGGAGAAAACAAAGACATATAGCAGAAGGGTTTCAAATGGTGATTAAATGCCACTGACAAAGGATGTGAGGTAAGGGCTCTACTCTATGCAGCTAAACTTCATCTGGATTCTGGAAGAGCTACTAATCTGTCACTTTTGTGAATTAAAAAAGCTGCAGTAGATTTTCTGCTACAGGGAAGGGCAGCTTTGCAGGCATAAATAACTGTTCTTGCTGATGAAACCTTCTTTTAGTCAGAAAAAAACCACAGGTGACCCAGCCCTCAGTAGCTCTGAGTACAGGGGAAAAAGAAAGGAGCAGAGAAATCTGGCCCAGGGATTTTGTTTTTGCTGAAGCCTGATGTCCAGGCTGTCCTGCTGGAAACCTCAGAATCCCTAATCTGGTTTTACAACATCATGATGTCTTTTTTTTACTGATGCAACACAGCTTTAATGCTATCTAACCCATTTGCCTTAACCTGCCCCACACTTCACAAAGAAGATTTTGTTTTCCTCCTGTGTTTTCTTTGGATTGAGGCCTGGGATGTCTGGTAGGGTTATCAGTTCCTCTTGGTTGCAGAATGAAGTTTCTCTCTGAGCACTGCCAAGTCTCACTGTTGTGTTTTTTTTTGTTTGGTTTTTTTGTTTAAAAATTAATAATGCAAAAAGCAGAAGTGGAGAATCACAACTTAGTAATAATTCTCATCACTGTTGATATAGTTTCACTTGCCCTGTCAGTCTTCTTGTTTTCTCAAAGGCAATAGGCCTTTGCTTCCTTTTCTCTCTTTACCTGGAAACTGAGGAATTATTATAAATTCCTCTTGGCATCCCATGCAGGGAGAGCATGTGTGTGTGAAGAGGAGAGACGGGGGGGAATCACTGTAAGTGATCTGCTTTGCCTTGTTTAATATCTTTGTGACAACCACATCTTCTAAAAACGTGTATCAACACTGGCAATGTGAACATATTGTACCAGCTGATGCCTTTCAAAGACATTTTATAAAATATTAAGCCTAAAATACCTGTCTGCCAGTCACTCATGAACTGCTTCTTCCTTCAATCTGTTGTCTTCCATGGCTGATTTCAGTGGCAAGCGTCTCCCCAAGGCTTCCTTGGCCATGGGATTTCCATGTTCCTTGCAGTTCCTTTTGTTACTGGTACCTCTGTGAATGATGCTGGGATTCAGCAAAGCATGCCAAGGGCAGGCCACTCGGTGTGAGAACTGGGACCAGCTGAGAGCAAGCAGGCTTGGAAACATCTGTGTTAACCCGGGAGAAGGGAGTTGGACTGGTATAAGCACCACGCTGATGGTACTGTACTGCAGGTACTGGAGGTAGCTCATTTACAGCAAGTGCTGTTTTCTAGCCACAGCCTTGTGTGTTGGGAACCACTTCCAGCTCTTCCTCTGCCTTAACTTTTCATTGTGCAGGCTTCTGTTCCTCTGCTGGCTGGGTTGGCACTTAACTGCCATTAGTGGGCCTAGTGAACTGTAAGAATCACTGGTAATTAGCCAGGGAAAATTGCCTAGCTTTAGCATTCATAACATTAATGAATGTCTTCTTACCTTTGTAAGTCCAGTGCTTGCTGCTTATCAGGAAGCAACCTTTCCAGATGCTCTTTTCTCCTTCTCCCTGTTGTCCTTTGTGTTTGCTATGGACGTATGTTGTTGGTAATTGGAAGAAGCTGTAGCTCTGCTTTGGAGACATGCTTGCTTCTCCCATCTTCCAGTGCCCCATAAAATGTTTCCATAGCCTTCTAACCTTGGAAACAACATGGAATGAAAAAATGTGGAAACAAATCAGAAATTTACTGGAAGAATCAGTAGCACTGAAAAAGGCTCTGTACATCCTTTACCACAAGCTCTGTTTCTGAAAAGTGTGCATCATTTGGGCTGGTACTTGGTTTTATTTTCATGCGTTTTTTAAAAACTTGTTTAATGGCAGCGTTTGTCCTTTCTCTAACTGATGTTTTGGGCATGAATGTGTAGCGCATGTACAACCATCATGCATAAGGCTGTATTTCACTCTTCTAAGGAGTGGAAGATAGCAAACCATGGAACAACAACCATAAATCGCAACTTTCATGCAACTAGACAGGACATCAGGAAAAAACTTCTTTGCTGGGAGGGTAGGATAGCCCTGGTACAGGTTACCAGGAGAGGTATGGAATCTCCATGCTGGAAGGTTTTTGAGACCTGGCTTTTTGAGACAGAGCCACAGAAGACATGATCAAATATTGGTGATAGTCCTTATTCAGGTGAGAGGTTGTATTAGGTCACCCTGCTGGAGATTCCTTCCCAACCAACTTTTTTTTTTTTTTTTTTTTTTTTAGTTGATACTTATGCCTCGGTTATTCTACTTAACTGGAATAAGTTTCACCATGAAAAAAACAAACACAAAGCTATCAATTTATATTGTTCCAGCCATGTCATAAATTCTGTAGTATACAATTAATCTTTTTTTTCTTTTATTTTTTAGTGTGGTGCTGTTGGCCTCTGCATCCCATCCAGCAGGTAAAATGGATCGAGTTATTTCTTTTTTTAGTTTCCATGATGCCTTTCCTTTCCATACATATTTTTAGAGGCCAAACCTTGTAGGATTTTAGCCCTGGAATTCAACAGGAATATGACCAATAATGTGTTATCCCATAGGAAGAGGAGAGGAGGGTATATAACACTGTGTAATTTGCATGATATTTACTAATACCTTTCTTAGCTGCCCTTTGCAAAGAACAGCTCTTGAGGTGGTGCATAGTAAAGAACAGGAATTCCCCAGGTGAATATGTCCTTCTCAGAGCAGTGTCCCAGCAGCCCATATAGAGCTGAGTTTCCTTCTCCGCATTGCCCTCAATGCTATGCAGAGATTTCGTTTTCTTGTTTTCATAAGATGTATCCCATCACTTGAGCCCATGGCAGGATTTCAAGTAGCAAAAGATCAAAGTCTCCTCCAAAATTCAGTGGAGGAATTGAATATTTGATGGTGGCTAATATTTTTATCATGCTAATGTTTAAATAGTTAGAAGGATAATGATGATAATCTATTGCTTTCACTAGAGATTTGCTCAGTCAGAAAAACCAAAGAAGCAGCACTTAAATAAACATAAATTCTCCCTTTAGCCTGGTAGTGTGTGTTGTGTATATAGCATTCCCCCACCAGGATAGACAGACGTCTTAAGCAAAATAGTCCTGCATTTCAAAAAGTGAAAGATGGATCTTGCTCCAGATCTGTAGAGCCTGAAGGCTGGAGAACTCCTGGGAATTCTTGCTACCAAGAACAACGAGAGTCCAAGTTCTTGGAAATGCAAGTACTTTAAAGCTCTGCTTGGATCTAGGAGAACTTTTTTAAACCTCTCAAGTTGCTCTGTGTGACAGAGTTCAAATGCCAGAGGGGGAAGCAGCCAACATATGTCTGTGTTTCCTGTTGCTTCAGTAGGAACTACCATGAACTCTGTAATAAAAGAAGTGAATATGATGCATGTCTATCCACTGGCAACTGTTACTTAAGCAGGATCTTCTGTGTAGTAGCAAACAATACTCTTACATATCCCTTTTCCCCTTTTTCAACCAAAGGGAGGAACTGGCTAGAAGCAAGGTCAGAGAGAAATCATTAAATGCACTAGAAATGTGGAAAGCATCATAAGTGAAAAGTCAGCCAGCTGTAAAAGCTCAAAGGAATGTTAAACTAGTAATGTTTGTCTGATTGCTGTTCCCCTGCTTGTAACAATGGGTAATTTTTTTCCGCTGTGTTCCACTGAGTATATTGCTTTGTCCCTCAGGTGATCTATTCAGTGCCTTGGACTTTCCATTCCTGTACTTCTACAGGTTTCATAGCAGCTGCTGCGCCAGGTAACCTTTCTATATCAGGACATGTGAAAGTTTTCAAAATAAGAGATCCCATTGACTTCCAACCTGGACTCTCAGTTAAAAATTTTGGAACATGCAAAACCTTAGTTATACTAGTTTCTGCTGGCATAAGCCAGTAAAACTGCAGAGAATATGTGTCTGTGCATACCTGTGGATATATGTTTGAAGGCCTGAGATTCAAAAGTGCTGGAAGTATGTGTGTTTATTTGAGTGACTGCATTCTGATCAGGAGAGTTCCCACTAAAATAATTTTTACCTCATGTAGCAAAGCTTTGATAAATAGCATCTCTCAAATGCTTCTCAAGTTGGATTGACCCTTGTAAAACTTGCTGTTTGCAGTGATTACAAAGTATTAGTCTTCAGCAGTATACGAGCGTACATGGATTTATTTACCTGTACATCTTGTTATTTTGCAGAATGCTTTTTTTGAGTAAAAGGGAAAAGCTTTAACAAGCATTCTTTTATTTTGAGTAGTGAAAGTTCACTGCCCAATAGCATAATCCTCACAGAACAATGCAAGTATGTTTTCTATAGGTCTTAATTATCTCAAAAAAATTTATTTCTCTCTTTCCCCTCCAGTCTTTTGCCAAATTGAAGTATTTTCTTTTTAGAGGGGAAAAAATATTTTTGTGCTAACTGATGACAAAAATATTTTCTGATTGTTAGGAATTTTCTTAATTATACCTGGATTTTCCATTAAAAGGGAATATTAAAAATGATTGTTAAATAATTTCCCTATGTACATAGTTTTTTGGTATGAAAGTGGCTTTTTGCAAGGGTGGACTATCCACATTACAAGTAACTTGCAGTTAGGTATTAACAGTAGGTAGATGAAATCTATTTCTTCTTGAAGGCAAGGTCTAATTGCAGGCACTAGTGGATATCTGTCTAGCCCAGATACTCTTCTATTTCAATTGAATTTTACCACTGCAGTAGCCTCCCACTTCCATTTCTATTGCCCCAGCTTCAGTATATGTATAGTAAATAACACTGTACACTACAGCAACTGGAAAGGAATAGGTAGATGGAGAAAGAAGCATCTCAGTTGCTCTCCTACATCTTGTAATCTAGTGTTTTGGTAGACATAAAGGATTTGGAGGAAAACCTATACAATGTAAAGTAAGGGTGACTGATGCAGTTAATTCCACTGTCTGTGCAGAATGTCTGAAGCATTAGTAGTAAGGTGCAAAGTTCTCCATTTATTTAATGAAATAAATTTACATTAATTGTGACAGTAGTATTTCAGGTATTATAATTAGCTGTTTCACAAACAGCTTCAAATCACTCTGACTAAAAGCCCTTCTCAGCAGGGCAGAAGATGTGGAACAAATATAAGCTGCTGGACTTTCAGAAATTTGGGCAATGCTGTTTCACTGAACTTACTGATTTCTCAGAGTGGAAAGTTCTACTGTTCAACATTTCATCCTCTGCAACAGGGAGCTGAGCTTGGGCCTATCTTTTATAATCAAAGCACCATCTGCTTTCTTGGCTCCAGGCACAACAGATAGTCCTTTGGGGTGCCGTGTTATGGCTCAGTGTAAGGAACCCTAGTGCCTCCTACTCCTGGTCAGTTATCTTACCCTACTGTTTGGTGTATCAAAAACACCTCTACTGACTGTGGCTGAAACACAACTTTGCCACATGTACTGAGCAGGGAACAGCACTTGGCTGAGGTACTGGAGTCCAGCATGGAACTTCTGACCTGGGGAGCCACCGTCTTCCACCCTTCCTGCTATTGCAGAGAGGGCACCAACTGCATTGCATCAGTATTCAGAACAGCATTCCTTCTTCGAATACCAAGGCACTTTTTGCTGTGTTGATCCTATCTCCTTTCCCATGCAGCTTCCTACAATACTTTGTAATCTCTTATGCCTCTCGACCAGCCACACAGTAATTTGTACCTGACAAATTTTGAAGTCCTTTTCTATTCCCTGCTTACTAGTTTGCACTATTTCACTGGTTCATAACCAGTGGGTTGTAGGTATGTCACAAGTGAAACAAAATCCAGAGCAAAAGCTTATAAGCTCTTTGAGGTCCAGTGAGATGTGAAACAGAGTTTCCTTAAGAATAGTCTTGGCTACAGGAGCACTGGGGACTACTGTCCTATATGACTTGAGAATCAAAATTCATTTAATTGTCAGCAGAGAGCTTCGGAGTATTCTCCCAGCACTACTGAGTCATCTGTCTGTTTGTTACAGAGTAGAGAAGTATTTGACTTCCTAATTGGAATTTAGGCTTCATAAAGTTTAAACAGCTTGAAAGCTTCAGGCAGAAACTTCCCAGTGGTTATTTTTTCAGTTCAAGGCTCTGTGGAGGTTGAAGTGAGTTAGTTGCCAAACATGTGTGGCTCCTGTTGAAATTAGCATTGCCTTTATTCAGAGACATTTCAATGCCTGAAGTTAATGTTTCACCTCATGTTTCCAGTAATCCCTACTTTTCTGATTGTGCAAGTGTGTTAGAGACCAGCCATAAGAGCATCAGCTTTACTTCACTCAGACTTGAGTCACTGACTGAACAAAACCTGAGATGTACTGGACACGGTGTGAGCTCTTTGTCCACCAGCTTTCTTTCTCCAAAGGGGATTAACACTGCTTGAAGGGTGACTGTTCGGTTCTGCATTAGGAAAACCAAGATGCCTGTAAGAGGTTGCCTAGTTGAAATTAAGAGACTTTATTAACAAGCTTTCCTCATCCCTTGCAGTGGACTGTTGGGATTCTTTCTGATGTTGCACACAGTGAAGCTAAAAAGCAGCACAACCTCAGGGCAATATGCAGCATGGAATTTCCTTGCAAAGGTAAGAGAGACTGTCACAGGAACACAATGGATCTGTGCTTCTCCCAGGAGAACTGAGCAATTTCTGCATCTCTCTCGTTTCCTTTGCTATTCCTGTTTAACGCTCCTAGGACCTGTATGTGCAACCTGCACATAGAGGCAGCAAATGTGAGGTGCTTAATAAGCCAGAATTGTTAGCTGAGATGAAATACTGTTTATCGACTGAGTATAATGGAGCTAGGCTGATTATTACGGCTAAGGATTTGGCCTACTGAATAGAAATAATATCCCAGTAATACAAATCTGTGTTTCCAAAGGTGTTTTGGAGAAGAGCACTCCTTCTAAGAGTGTATGCACCAGCTGTTGTTTCCAGTGTGTCTTCTCAGAATCAAGAGTTAAAACTAGTTCCCTGAAGTTCAGTACCAAACTCCCACTGCTGTCGTTGCAGGAGAGAGCAGTGGATGCCATTTGCCTTGACTTTAACAAGACTTTTGACAGTATCTCTCACAGTATTCTTATATCCATATTAGACTGGTACAGTCTGGATAGGCAGACAATTAGACAGGCAAAAAAATGGTTGGATGATCAGGCTCAGAAGGTAGAGTTTAATGATTCCTGCTCTAACTGGAGGCTTGTGAAAATGGACTAGCACAGGGTCCATTTGTTTAACACCTGGGATCCATCCTGTTTAACATCTTTGTTGAAGAATCAGAGGTGATAGGGTGCACTCACGTTTGCAAAGGACACCAGACTGAGAAGACTAGTCAGTAATGCTGAAGGACAGGGTTGCCTTCCAGAGGGACCTGCACAGGCTGGAGGAATGGGCCAACAGAAATCTCACAAGATTCCGCAAGGATAGATGTGAAGCTCTGCACATGGGAAGGAGGAGCCCCTGGCAATAATAGAGACTGGGGACTGGGTGGCTGGAAGCAGCTGTGTGGAAAAGGACCTGTGAATTTTGATAGACAGCAAGCCTGAACATGAGCCAGCAGCGTGCCCTGGCAGCTAAGAAGGCAAAAAGTATCCTGAGTGGTCCTAACAGTAGCTCAGGCAGTAAATTCATGGAAGTGATCGTGCTCCTCTACTCAGCACTTGGTAGAACACATGTGGAATAGGGAGCCTTGTTTTAGGCACCTCAATACAAGGAAGACATTGATAAACTGGAGAGAGTTCGGCAGAGGGCTGCCAAGAAAGTCAGGGGGCTGGAGCACTTGCCTTATGAAGAGCAGCTGCCAGACCAGGCTTGTTCAGCCTGGAAGAGAGACAGCTTTGAGAGCACCTAACAAACAGCAGCCACCCAGTAGCTATAGAGAAATTATCAAGACAGATCAAGGCTCTTCACAGTGGTGCATGGCAGGGAGATGGATGAAAGATAACAAGCATAAATTGAAACGAGGGGTTCAGATTAGGTATAAGGAAAAACTTTTTAATCCCAAGGACAAGTCAGGCAGAGGCACAGGTTGCCCGGGGAAGCTGTGCAGTCTCTGTCTTTGAAGGTTTTCAAGACTCAAATAGACAAAGCCCTGAGCAACCCATTGTGACCTCTTGAGGTCCATTCCTACTGGAATTACCCTATAATCTGTGGATCTGGGGTTCGGCTGTACTTGATTTAAGTTATTAACAGCTCATTTGTTACATTGTCGGTGGTAAATGCCATCAGAAGAGCTTGTCAGATTCCTTTTCCCTGGTTAGATTTTACTTGATTTCATCACTCTCAGCTAGGTTATTTGAAAACCACAACCTTCCTATGTGGTTTGTGATCACAGCTTTCCTAGTACAGTGAATGAAGTTGTTACCTTAAAAAAAAAAAAGTACACATGCATAGTATGCTTGTTTAGAAACCGTAGTCAAATGAGTCTCTCTTTTCTGAGGTTAACAAGAAGGGAGTGATATGGCTTGTTTTGTGCTTTGCATGCTGTTCCACACTGTACAAGTCACATAGACTTTCTCACCAGTTTGAATTTCTTCCAAACATTCTGACTGTGCAGATTTTAGTACCTTAGCTTTCTCCTCACTCCTTGGTAGCAAGTCAGCTATCTAAAGCTTGCTCTTGCATCAGCCTGAGCAAGAGAAGGCTCTGGGGGCACCTTATGGCAGCCTTCCAGTACCTGAAAGGTGCTTATAAGAAAGCTGGGGAAGAACTGTTCACAAGGGCACATAGAAATAGGATGAGGGGTAATGGTTTTAAAGTAGGAAAGGGTAGATTTAGGTTGAATATTAGGAAAAAGTTTTTCAATATGAGGGTGGTAGATCATTGGAACAGGTTGCCCAGAGAAGTAGTGGAGGCCTTGTCCCTGGAGATATTCAGGTAAATCTGCTCTAGGAAAGATGTCCCTGCTCACTGCGGGGGGGTTGGACTAGATGACCGTTGAAGGTCCTTCCAACCCAATACATTCTATGATTCTGTGATTTTTTTTTTTTCTTTTTTGATGTTCTGAGTTGCAGAAATGGTTCTACATGTGGTATTTATGACCTATCTGAAAAAAATGCAGTCAAAGATGTGTTGTGAAATATATTTGAGGCAGATTTGGGTCCTTCCCAGCTGAAGTGGATCAGAGCCTCAAAGTCTGGACTGGATCAAAGCCTTCCCAAAGTTTGAGTTTCTGGGTTTGTGTTGTTTTGGCCAACTCTAGACATAAATTAGACAAAGTTGTCACTGTGTGTCACTGTGATAATTTGATCTGTTATTCTTCCTTAAAAGTCTGTGTTTGTTAATGTGCATGGTTTAATTTTCTTGCTTAGGAAGGTTTCCGTAACAGAGTAAATTAGTTCTTTTCCTGTTGTAACTTCTAAGCCAGTGCTTAAATTATATGTCTTCTCTTGAGATCAGAGAGGGGAATAAGTAATAAGGACAGAAGATCTGTCTGTAGCATTAATTTTATCAAAACTAGCAGTTTCCTTAATGTCTTTAGTGAAAGACATTAAGTGTTTTAAAGCTTACTGTAAGAATGATTTTAGGGCTCAGTCATGCCCATCTGAGGCAGCATGAGGAGCACAGAGGAACTGCTGCTCCGAGTGCTGAAATGCAGCTGATTTTGGAGTAGAAGTCAATGACTACTTGAAAAATTCAGAAATACTATACATGAGTTTTAGAACAGGGATCAAAAGAGTCTGCAGGCACAGACAATGGATAGGCAGAAAGCAAGAGCTGAACTGGAGCTTGCCTACAAGGGCAGGGGCTGATCTACCAGCTCCTACAAAATTTTCACAAGGTATCTTGTAACTATAAGGAAATATAAATTTACATATGGGGTGGCTAAGAAGAGTCCTATCTGTCTGGTCACTAATGCTGCTTCCTGCACGTGTTCAGAAGTGTTAAAACTACGTACTGGTCCAGCCCAACATTGCCTGGGTATGAAGGCTTTCTCAATTGTATCTTATGTCATCATAGATGCAGAAAAGCAGTATTTAAGTAGTACTGTAAAAATCTCTTTAAATCCAAGTGTGTGACTCCCTTTGGAAAAAAAAAGAAAAAAGAAAAAAAGAAAGGAAGTTAATGTGGATAAAGAATAAAGATAGAAAGTATTTGAATCTGGACTTGCAGAATGAGATCCAGTGGAAAAAAACCCTTCTGTTCACAACAGTGGCTTTGCAGTCCCACATGAGCATTTTTCTTGGATTGAGTAGTGCCCTAGATCATCCTCTTAATCTTTCAGACTGACTGGAGTTTTCACCAGCAGTTGGAAAGGACCAGCATTCGAGGCCAGAATATGTTTATCTTGCAAATGAGCCAAGAAAAGAGAATGCTGTAGTCCTCAGACAGCAGCACAGGCCTCTGGGGAGGTGCAGGGAATCAGAAAATCTGTTTTCCATTTGGATGCTTTGTACCTATGTGACTGATGAGCTGGGCTAAGATTGTTGCCACCACTTCATTTCTTGTTAAGTGCTGATAGACCAATAAACTAACCATGAGATCAAATCGGACCTGCTTTGCAGATTCAAGGATGCATTCTTTGTGAAGCCCACATATTTGGCCTCCTTACCCTCTAATTTTTCATTCACTTAAAAACTGGAGCTGGGTCGTAACTTGTTTTTATGATACTTACTTTGGCCACAGCAACTGAATCATTGTAAGAGGTTTTTAAATTCTTCCCTGTAATGATTTCTGACAGCTTTCGTGTCAAGGCATTGCTTTGTGCAGAGACAGCTGAAGCACAGCTTTAATCTGTGTATATAGACGTGTGTGATCTTTATAGTGACAAATACTCTCTGCACTTTTGCTGTGAAAGCAAATAGTGTGTGTGTTAGTCATATCTGTATAGATCTGTGAGAAATGACAAAAAAAAAAATCACTCAAGTTATCTGTAAAACAAAAAAAAAAAGCTTTTAAGCAGCCCAAGAAATATGGAATGGTTCGTCATAGCCTTGCACAGATTTAATCCCCAGAAGACCAAGGATTTGAAGCTGTACTGAGATTCCTTGTTTTAATTTGAAAGCTATGCTAGTATCATGGGTCATGTACTAGTAAGAAAGACTGGAGATGCTCATATATACAGACAGAAGCATCTGGTGAGAACGCTAATGAGCTCTAACAGTGCTGTCAGTGAGTTTGTTTAGATTAAGGCTGCCAATCTGTATCTGGTGATGAAACCTATTAGGGTCTCTAAAAGTTAAGCATCAGAAATTATATAAATCATGAATAGAAGGGAAAATGTAATTTCAGAACTTTTCTTCAGTAAGATACTGGTTACTTATGAATACATATTCCTGTATTAATGTTTAGTGTTATACCAATAAACTTGTAGTAGGGAATTCAGCTTGTTTCCAATAGATACCTGTTGAGACAGCTTGTTATAAAGAGGAAGAATAAATGGGAAGGACAGTGGATTTTGGATTCTCTCTTCCTCCCTCATCTGAAGAAATGAAGTTGGATAATAAATTAAATTGCATTGAGTTTTACATTGGCTTTCTTATGCATTGGTTGGAAGAAAATTTGGATTGATCTGATCAGGAGTATGCAACTCTTTTCTATAAGGCTATTCCACACATGTTATGTAATCTCTAGTGTCTCTGAACAGTTTT